CGCCACCGGGTGTCAATTCAATCAAGCCTTTGGATGTGGAAACGACGCGGATGGATGGTTGGAGGTTGTCCTCGAGTTTTGTTATCCTTATCGGCTCTTAATTTGGAAGGGACCAGAGCTATCGGTGTTCTTTCCCTGACGCCTCTCTTAGCACACAGACCACAACTCACCGAATGGTCCATATCACCAACTGACTGAGCTGCCTACGAGGAAACGAATACCCATAGTATTAACTTCTATTTAAAGCTGCTAGATTGAAAAATTGGCATTTTTGCGGCATAGTAATGCCAGCTCTTGGGGTCAGGGTTAGAAACTCGAGTATACTCGTGAGTATTAGCACGTACTCATACTCATCAGTACGATAAATCCTCGTACTCACACTCTGTCACGAATGCATCACGTGCGGGGTCATAACACGTGAGCTATGGTGCCAGGACGGAGGAACGTCCGGCCGAAGAACACGTGAAGCCGTAGTATATAGTAGGAACGCGGACCTTCAGAGAAAGTTCGACAGCGTCATTTCTTGCGCTGTTGTCGATAGCGGCGGTAATGTATCGCTGTTGCTATAGCAGCAAGAACGACGATATCATCGCCTTCCTCCATACTATCAAGGGGCAAAGGCAAAGGCAAAGGCAAAGGCAAAGGCAAAGGCAAAGGCAAAGGCAAAGGCAAAGGCAAAGGCAAAGGCAAAGGCAAAGGCAAAGGCAAAGGCAAAGGCAAAGGCAAAGGCAAAGGCAAAGGCAAAGGCAAAGGCAAAGGCAAAGGCAAAGGCAAAGGCAAAGGCAAAGGCAAAGGCAAAGGCAAAGGCAAAGGCAAAGGCAAAGGCAAAGGCAAAGGCAAAAGGCAAAGGCAAAGGCAAAGGCAAAGGCAAAGGCAAAGGCAAAGGCAAAGGCAAAGGCAAAGGCAAAGGCAAAGGCAAAGGCAAAGGCAAAGGCAAAGGCAAAGGCAAAGGCAAAGGCAAAGGCAAAGGCAAAGGTGAAGACGAAGGTGAAGACGAAGGTGAAGACGAAGGTGAAGACGAAGGTGAAGATGAAGGTGAAGATGAAGGTGAAGACGAAGGTGAAGATGAAGGTGAAGATGAAGGTGAAGGAACAGTGGTAGTGGCAGTAGTGGTGCTTGTGGTAGCCAGTTATCACATTTGACCACAGTGATTATAGACCGCCGTTATGGTCAGCTGAGAATTCGATCGATCAGCATGATATTACTCTATTAGTCTATGCCCCCATAACCCTGCATTAGCCCTACACTAACTCTATACTAGTTCTACGCTAGTACTAAAACTACTACAGTCCACTCTCGCCAAGATGATGTCGGATAAGTTGATAACACTGCTAAGTCAATATTTTTTTCAGCACCAATTGATTTTCGCACTCAATTCTCGATATTCGCGATATTGACCTTCTGACCTTTAATTATCGACTTATCCAACTCTATTATGCCTTGAAAACACACAATTACACTCGAACAGCACCGTGCCCTTCGAAATTGGGCACACAAACAGCACCCGAAACCCTCCCAGAAAGCCTGCATCAACTGGTTCCTCCACGAATTCAATCATAGGCTAAGTCAATCGACTATATCAGATAGCCTCAGTGACCGCTTTAAACATCTCGACAACTCGACAACAACTGGACAACAAAATCGAACCCAATGGCTTCAATTTGAACAAATTCTCTACGACTTTCAGCGACGAATTGATAGCTGCCGTGTCTTTACATCTGGTGATATACTTCAAGAAAAGGCGAGGGAGATCTGGAGAAGACTTCCACAGTATGCAGATCAGCCAGTTCCCGACTTTAGTTCTGGCTGGCTTACATGATTTAAATCACGACGTAATATTAAGATACATACATGTCACGGCGAAGCAAGATCTATCCCAGAATTAGTTGAAGAAGAGATGAAAGGGCTCCGGACAATTGCTAGCGAGTTTGAGGAGGAAAATATCTATAATATGGACGAAACTGGGCTCTACTGGAAGATGATGCCATCTCGAGGACTAGCATCGCAATCATTACCTGGATTAAAGAAGGAAAAAGCTCGAATTACACTTACTCTTTGTACAAATGCTTCTGGATCTGACCGGCTTCCAATCTGGATTATCGGCAAAGCAAAAACACCTCGATCTTTACTCAATATTAATATATCTACAATGGGAGCTGAGTGGAGGTGGAATAAAAAGGCTTGGATGAATTCAACAATTATGATCGAGTGGCTTCAAGCATTTTATCAACATATTGGCTTTACTCGACAAGTCCTTCTTATAATGGACAACTTTTCTGCACACATATCTGGTGTTGAGCTTTGTCCCCCACCTCCTAATATTCGGATCTGTTGGCTTCCAGCTAATAGTACTAGTCAATTCCAGCCTCTTGATCAAGGCATTATTCAATCTCTTAAAGCTTATTACCGTCGACAATGGCCCTGTTTTATGCTTGAATGTTATAATTCGAATCTGGATCCAATTAAGCAAGCAAGCTTACGACTTTCAATTCGCTGGATCTTACGAAGCTGGAATCAACAAGTTTTACAATCAACTATATACATTTGCTTTCCAAAATCAACACTTCTTACAACTCTAATCACTCTTCCAACCTCAATTACACTGACAGACCTTTCACAACTATACGAACAAGTTATTCAAGCTGGCAATATACATGATATAATGGCTATCGACGAGCAAATCAACAATACAGAAGTTACAACAGATGAGGAGGGTATACTACAGGAGTTTCTTACTGCTCAAAAGCAACGACAATAGCTATTAGCTCCTTGTTGTAGATGTCATAGTTAAGCTCTGTAGGTAAGAGTTTCCTAGAGTAATATGCAACTAGCTTGAGCTTTCCATCTTTGTCTAGTTGACTTAGACATGCTCTAATCCCGAAATCAGAAGAGCCTGTCTCTAGGACTATCTTCTTTGCAGGGTTGAATATGGCTAAGTGTAACGCTGACTTCTAAACGATAGAAGGCACAGAGGTTCTCTTGCGTAAAGGTTTACTTATCAGAGGAGGCAGGGGATCAGACACAAAGGCTTCAAGTAACACGTTACTAGTATATAACAAATACTGTATTGAGTTGAGCACGAAGCTCCTATCTAAGGAAATACTATCTACTTATATAGTGGCGTCGTGCCTAGTGGACTCTTGGGAACTCACTCGAGTCCTCGGAGTCCTGGACTCTTAGGATTCTTCTCATCATCCTGCGAGTCCGTCACGTGCCTAGTGGACTCCTGGGAACTCACTCGAGTCCTCGGAGTCCTGGACTCTTAGGACTCTTCTTATCATCCTGCGAGTCCGTCACGTGATACTTTCAGAACTACTATTCCCCGCTGCCCCTCCAGGTACCAGGGCTGGTCTCATGCGACCTCCCTCCTTCCTGTCCTGTAGTTGGCCAGCCTTCTTGTTCCGTCGTAACACTAAGATAGGTGCTTCTATAAACTTTATCTTGAGTTCTTAGAAAGCAGCCTCTGCCTTGTTTGTCCATTTGAACGTAAGGTCTTTCCTTGTAAGCTCTGTAGGTAGTTGAGCTACCTTAGAATATCCTATAATAACCCTCTAGTAGAAGTTAGCGAAACCTAAGAAGGCTTGTACTTCTTTAACTGTGGTTAGTGTTAGCCATTCTAACACTGCTATGACCTTTGCTTGGTCCATTTTTATGCCATGCGTTCCGATGATTTAACCTAAGAATTCAACTTGATTCTTATAGAATTTGCATTTCTCTAGCTTAAGAAGTAGGTTGTATTCCTTCAACCTTTGTAACACCTTCTTAACGTGGTTTACATGTTCTGTTACGTCTTTAGAGTAGACTAATATGTCGTCTAAGTAGACGATGACGAATACGTCTAGGTATTCATAAAGGGCTTCATTCATAAGCCTTTGCATAGATGCTAGTGCGTTCGTTAGTCCAAAGGGCATAACTTGATGTCTAGTTTCGTGAATATCTTAGCTCCTTGAAACCGGTCATGTAACTCGTTTAAGTCGCCCGGATCTCAGCAAACAGATCATCCATGGCCGGGATCACCTCCTCCTCTGTTTGCTCGGCATAATGAAGAGCAGTTAGCTCCACGAAGGCAGTCCTTATCCATAGCGAAAATGCACAATATAACCAGGAGCTGATTCAAGCCGACTATCAACCAGTGATACACGACAATGAAAGCTTGCAAGGTGGCCGTAACTATACGTCGCCAACCCTTGAAACGCCCGAAAGGCCTCCAGTAGTTAATACCTGGGCGAATAGATCAGCACAGCAACCTACGGGCGAAGAGGCTCGAATCACAGCCAGAGAAGGAGACGAGAGAGTGTATGATTCGTATCTTGGGGAAGCCAATTTGCAGTTTTTGGATGACCAGCAACCTAAACGGCACCTGAGCAAGTTCCAATGGGATTAAACGTTCCATCATCATCGCGTGGTCGGCAGATCTCAATCTCCACTGGGTTGAGTCGCCATTCTCTAGAGGCAAGAAAGGTTTCTTCGAAGAGTGGCAGAGATACTTCTAGAAAAACAATATATAACATTGCCATTGCTACACCTCCCTCTAAAACAAATGTCCATAGGTAGCCACTTGTTTTGGGTCATATGTAAAGGTTACTCATCTAGTCAACTATAGGTACCATTAGACGCGGAAATGGTGGATTGTAGAAGGGCAGCTGGGTGGGGGTGACCGGTATACGTAGGTATGAAGGTAAGTTAATATACTTACCCACATGCAAGCTCGTGTCTACGTAATAGGTAGAGTATAAACCAAGAGATTTTACGGTGATGGCGACGGTGGTGGTAGCCACAGAGTACATCGAATAGAAACAATAGCACGGAAGCATACGCCATAACTCCAATCATTGACATAAACACAGCACAATATAACCCTAACGAACCCCACGACAAAAAAGGTTGCATGAATAAGAAACCACCAAGAAATCTACTCCTCCACGCCTTCCTCCTTTCCCTCCCCCGCCCCCTTACCCAGCCCACCTCAATCATCAGCGCCAACAACTCCGACGCCGATACCGGTAACAGCGCACCAAACCACCCACCAAAAGCCTTGTGATCAGATAGAAGAGAATAAATCCTTGAATCCCCCGTAGTCATTACCTTCGTTGAACGTCATCCCTACCACCAACTCCAACCCCATTCCAGACCCAGAAAACGTGAAGAAGAAAACAACACCGCACAAACACCACAAACACCAACGCCTTCCTCCCCGTCCCCACAAGACCAGAATCCATCCACTAGACCATCTTCAGCCTCCCCTCCTCCTCCAACCGCTTAATCAGCTCCCTCTCCCTCGGACTTCTGGGACTCGCATCAATCCCCAACAAATCACTAATGCTAGACCCCCTCTTCTCTGTCGTATCGCGGACGTCCCCCTCAGGGCTACCACATGGTGTAGGCGGCGCGCACCACCCGCCCCTGCGCCACACTTCCTCCAGTAGTGCGGGCGGCGCCTGGGCGCCGTACTCTGCCGCGATGGCGTACCAGAAGGCCGCGCGGTGGATGTCGTAGATGCGGCGCAGGCGTTCTTTGTCGATGTCACTCGGAGTCAGAGCGGAGGCGGCGACGGAGCAGTTCAGACGGAGTGCGGCCCGAGGTGGGGGTGCGTGCTGGGTGAGTGACGTGGTGGTGACTGGGGAGGGTTTGGGGAGGATGACGACGGGCGGGAGGCGGGGAAGGGTGATGAGGGGCGTCGTTGGAGTCGGGGATGTAGAGTATGATGGGGGCGAGATGGGGAGTTCGCGGATCGGGGAGGGGATTGTTGGGGGTGGTGGGGTGAGGCAGGCTGTCGAGGCCGCGGAGGACATGGAGGTTGTGCGCTTGCGGCGGTTAGAGCCGTGCGAGAGCTGGTGGTAGTGCAGGCGGCAGGCGAGCTCGGTCTTCTTGAGGTGCGCGGCGATGTGCTTATAAGGCATCTTTTGGAGGCGTGTTTGGAGGAGGTAGACTTCCTACAAGTGAACGGTTAGTGGGTGTGATTGTGAAAATTAGGGTGGTGAAGGCGAACTTCTTCTTCGCTCCATGCGCGGCCGCCGCCGGTGGAGGCGGGTTTCGTGCGGTTCTTGGTTACGCCATATTCACGACGGTCGAGAAAGTAGGAGGGAGGTGTCGTGCGTAGGCTGGATGCCATGTGCACCGAGGTGTTCATCAGAGTTGGAGACATAATGGCCGTTGATCATGTGGGTTGTTTGATAGTTATACTCGGTGGTGTAGACGACAGTGATATGAAGATAAGTAGATAGAGGGGTTTCCCAGAAAACGGGGAGATGAAGAATCGAAAGTTATAAAATGGAGCAGGCCGAGCTGTTGAAGAATGTAAATTGTGGTTTTGAAGATGGGACTTCGCAGGAAGTTATATCTGAGGATGGTGGGTTGTAAATAAATAAAGCACACCGATAAAATATTAAATGTAAAGAACGTAAGCAGCCAAGCCAGTTGGGCAATAAAGAGAGTACGAAATGAGGCTGCTAAGGAGAGTAGTCGACAGGTTGTGGAGGCAAGAACAAGAGAAAGGATCATGAATCGGGGAGAAGACGAAGCTATATAGATGCGTGCAGCTGCAGGATCTGCTCTAGTCATCCGCATAGCGATGATTAGGATGGTAAAACTTGGAGACAAAAATCAGTTTCTAATCATGCATGGGCTTGAAGCATAGTCCATGTGGAATTTATCAGGCCAGAACGGGCGATCTCCAGTGTTTCCGGGGCCGTGCGGGCGTTTGCTGTCGAGCGCGGCTTTCGTCATATGCGTGTTTGGTGTTTGAAGGCGAGTATCGTTGATGTTACAAGTGTGTTCGGAATCCGCACCCCGGCCTTCACGAGCCACACAACGGCATCGGATAAACGCCTTGCTTGGGACCTGTCTGAAGATTCGCAACATGTGAGATGATCTCATTGCGGCTCCACGGATCAAGTACTCTACCACAGACGATCCGATCTTTTTGATTGATGCTATAATCAGAATCGTAGGATATGACAAGAGGTGTCTTTCTTTAGAGCTCGACCCCACCCAGCATTTCGAGGCGTGATGTTGAAACTCGCTTGTTCGAGTTGGCATTAAATTGGTGGCTGCCACCCCAGACAAGAAACATCTGGGCACGCGCTCGAATTGACCAACCGCCCCACTGGTCGAAGGAAAAGAGAAAAAGACCCCTGAGGTTAAAAGAGCCCTACAGATGTCAATTCTGTACTTACCGGCTATTATGATTGATCAATGGACGGTGTGAACTTCCTGTACAGATCGAGCTTGAATCGGCTTGTTTACACCCCAATCGCGAACTAATCCGACCAGACTCAAGATCGCCCTGTAGCCTCTCTCAAAACATTCGGCTTCGCCTGTTCGTGATGCATCATTCTTGCTCCAGAGCTTGTCCTTGGCAACACCGGAGTCCTGATATCATCAGCTTCATAACCGCTGCTGGCTGATTGAGAGGGTAATAGCCGGCGTCACGCGCCGACGATGCATTCAGTCAGAAATTTAATGGGTATCCTGCGATCCTCTCTGGACTGGAGCGGTTGAGTAGGCAACAAGATGAGGAGAGTCCGGAAGGATAGCTGCCCGGCGGCTTCGGCGTGGGAGCTAGCCTTTGGCTTCTGACAATTTTCGTCCAAGTTTCCCAAAGCGTGGACCCTGGCTTCGCGCCCATTTGCGCCCATTTGCGCCCATTTATCCCATCCGTTCTGGGCTTCCGCAACGCATGGAAGCCCGGAACGTGGCATTGAGGAGTACAGCAGCGGTGAACAGAAACAGGTGGCGGTCTGGGTGGTCGCCCGTTGCACCTTGATGGTTGTCAAACTCTCAACGTCGCTACCGAGTGGACCTGAGACAGCAATTTTGTCTCACCACCCGCTTAGAGGCCGCCACTTAAGTTATATACCTACAGTCATACCCTGGTTATAACGATCCTCTGTATAGCGATAATCTATATACAGTACAGCCTCGTTAAGACGATTGATTCCGTGCAGCCAAAATATATCGCAATGATGAGGATATCGTATATATGAAGCTTATGTAATCCAACTATCTAATGTGCCTTGTGAATACCCGTTCCGCTTTAATTCCTCCAGTTGACCCCCGCTCAAATAACCTCAAATAAGAGGTCTGGATATCTTCTCTGCTCTCTGTGAACCCAATCAGAACTTGTAGAGCGTTGCTGGCAGCCTGCAGTGAGTATGTAGGCTGCTCAGCTTGGACTTCGTCTTCATCATCATCTTGGGCCTCATGAGAGCCGAGCTCATCCTGTATCACCTCTTGAAGAAGTCTATCTTTAAGCTCCTCCTGTGTCTCAGTCCCTCCTCCCGTTATGTCTTCCTCCTCTTGCTCCACAATCGGATTGAGGAAGCTGTTTATGCTCATGACATCGTGTATTCGGCCAGATTGTATAACTTGTTCATATAATTGTTGAAGGCCAGAAGGCTCAAGCTGTACTGGAAGGTTGATTGAATTGACAAGAAGAGTCGACTTCTGAAAACAGTTGTAGATAGTCGTCCCTGTAACGTGATAAAACCAACTCCGTAATGCCCATCGAATTGCAAGATGAATGTTCATCGTTACGAGAGGATCTTGGTCTGAGTCGAATGCCTGTAGCATGTATGCAAGCCACTGACAACGGTAATGAATTTTAAATGAGGCAATAATTCCTTGATCAAGAGGCTGATATTGCTAGTAGCATTAAGCGGTAGCCAGCATATTAGAATGTTTGAAGGAGGAGGAGCCAATTCTAAGGCTAGAGCATGTGCTGAAAAGTTATCCATCGTTAGTAGTATATCCCTTGTTGATCCTACATGTGTATAAAAGGCTTGTAACTGTTACGATTATAGCTTACAGCTTGTTACGGTTGTTACGGTTGTTACAGTTGTTACAGTTGTTACAGTTGTTATGGTTGTTACAGTTGTTACGGTTGTTACAGTTGTTATGGTTGTTACGGTTGTTATGGGTGCAGCCTTAGCCACCAAGGCTACAACCGCTAAGCGGACAACTGTATATTACGAGGAATAGCCTCACCTTCCTTCCTTCTTCTTCTTTTTCTCTCTTTAGATTCAATCTAGCTTATTATTCTCCAGACTGGCTTCTTGACCTCCGTGACCATTGTAACATAAGATTGAATCTCACCTTTCTTTTGCTCTCTGAGCCTGAACCTTGATACTGAAATTTGAATTCCCTTCTTTGGAAACCCTACAACCATATCCTAAAGTCGATTCCAGAACACCACAGAACATGGGTAATCTGGATAGTTGGCGGATAGCTAGATATTCAGGATAGTTCGTGGATAGCTCAACTATAGTTTCTGCAACTATCCATTAGCCCCATCACATGGCAGCCTACCCCGCTTGCCCCCTGTGACTCACACGTCACGTTACTAGGCCCTGGCCCTGTAACCATGACATCATGTTACTGTAGCCGTAACAGTGGAAGCTTTGTGAATGCTGTTGGCGCAAAACGAATTGTGACATTGAGAACAACACTCCTATCCAACTTATAAAACCAAAGAACATCGAAGGATTTAATGGAGTTGCAGCACCTACAGTTACGCATGCTATATACCCTCGACTACAAATTGGAGATCACGTTGAAAGTTTATGCCCTCTATTCATTACTACTCTTGGGAAACATTCTATCATTCTTGGGAAAGCTTGGATGAAGCAGCATGGAGTCACACTCAATATGGTAAACGACCAAGTCATCTTTACAAAGGGTCACTGCCAGCACACTACACCAACAGACACTTTAAAAGTGAAAACTACAAGTCCCCAAGCTGAGAAGCAAATACAAGATAAAGAAGCTCTGAAGCCAGCCCTCCAACCTCATTATAAGAACAAGAACAAATGCACTGTTACAATGATTGGAGCTGCACCATTCAATATGCTTCGGAAGCAGAAAGGAGCTAAGGTTTTTGCAGTATCATTTAAAGATATACTCGCTGAACAAGCAAAGGAGGAAACGAAAGAAATCAACCCAAAACTGATCCTCCCAAAGGAGTTCCATAAATATCTCGATGTGTTCTCAAAACAGGCTGCAGACAAGCTCCTGCCTCACAGATATGCAGACCATCACATTGTGTTGGAAGGGAACTCGAAACTAGGGCTTGCACCACTCTATAACATGTCTTGAGAAGAGCTTGATCTTGTGAAGAAATACGTGGAGGACAATCTTACCAAAGGATTCATCGAAGCTAGCAAAGCACCATTTGCCTCACCTGTGTTATTTGTACGCAAACCATGAGGTGGACTTCAATTTTGCGTAGACTATCGCAAACTAAATGCGATCATAAGGAAAGACTCATACCCACTTCCCCTCATTGATGAAACATTGGCTCAAATCACGGGTGCCAAATATCTTACAAAGATTGATATTAGACATGCCTTTAATCGAATTCGCATGCAGACAGAGAAGGACAAAGATCTGACAACATTCAAAACTCGATTTGGATCATACAAATACAAAGTTCTCCCATTTGGACTTACAAATGGCCCAGCAACATTCCAACAATATATGAATGAAACATTAATGGAATACATAATCAAATTCGTCACTGCATACATGGACGATCTTCTTGTCTATAGCACAAGTAAGGAGGAACATGTTAAGCATGTCAAAATGGTTCTACAAAAGCTTCGAGAAGCAGGACTACAAGCAGATATAGCAAAATGCAAATTCTTCGTTCAAGAGACAAAATTCTTAGGACTCATCATTGGAGTTAATGGAATTTGCATGGATCCTGGAAAGGTGAACACTATACTCGATTGGAAAGAACCAAAATCATTACGGGACACGCAAGCTTTTATCGGATTCTGTGTGTTCTATCGAAGGTTTATCAAGAACTATTCAAACATCATGAAACCACTTGTCAACTTAACAAAAAAAGACCATGTCTTCGAATGGACAGAAGCATGTCAGGAAGCATTCACACTTCTGAAAAAGACTGTCACAGAAGCCCCAGTCTTACGACATTTCAATAGAGAGAAGACAGCCTATGTTGAAGCTGATGCCTCAGATTTTATTTCCTCAGGGGTACTGTCACAGAAAGATGCCAAGGGAATCCTACATCCAGTTGCATTCTTCTCGAAAAAGATGGCACCTGCAGAATGCAATTATGAAATCTATGACAAGGAGTTACTCGCCATCATCAGATGCTTCGAAGCATGGAGACCAGAAGTCGAGGGCACAGCAATGCCAGTCCAAGTTTTGTCAGATCACAAGAGTCTTGAATACTTCATGACAACAAAGAAGCTTACTCGAAGGCAAGCTCGATGGGCTGAGTTTCTGTCAAGGTTTAACTTTTAAATTATATATCGACCTGGGAAACAGAACGGAAAAGCAGATGCATTAACTCAAAGACCAGGAGATAGACCAGAAGGGAACGAAGAAGATGACCGCCAAAAACAACAACTTCAAACCCTGCTACCACTCAAGAGACTCCATCCAGACCTCCAAGAGATAAGGAAATTCGAAGATGCTAAGGTGAATCAAGACATCCAACTCGCGCCAGTCCACCTACAGGAAGCAAGTATTCTAGACAAAATCCAAACTGCGCAACATCAAGACAGCTTATGCAAAGACACTATTCAGAAGCTTCAGAATGGAGAACGAAACAGTCCAGACATAGCTCTAGCATATTGCGAGGTGAAGGAAGGGCTCTTATATTATCATAATAGAGTCTGGGTTCCAGAAAGTGCTCACGTCGAACTCTTACAAGAAATTCATGACCAACCAGCAATGGGACACCCTGGCATTGGGAAGATGATTCGGGTCATCAAAAGACAGTATTACTGGCCCGGATGGATAAGACAATTATACAATACACCAAGAACTGCCATATCTGCAAAAGATCAAAACCTACAAGAGATGCTTATAATGGACTTCTTCAACCAATCCCTGTTGGCAGCCAGCCGTGGCAGGACATATCACTCAACTTTATTACAGGATTGCCATTGTGTGAAGGAAACAATGCTATCCTTGTCGTAGCATGCTGACTTACAAAGAACGCCATTTTATCCCATGCTTTGCAGGCCAAGAAGGCACAACTGCAGAAGCAACAGCACAGCTACTCCTTCGACATGTATGTGTAAGGATGCCTTCTCGTCTCTCATTCTAGGGAGTAGACTCTGGGTAGCTGCGGGGTCACGTGTGATCATTTGTGTGGGCTAACTGAGTTGGAACCAAGTCGGATGGGTTTCAGGTACTTGAGACAATCGACTCACGGGGTTCCCCCATCATCTTTTTTGTATCCTTCGTAGTAGACCTATAGGATAGCATCCGTTTAGCCTCCGACTCGCACTCTCATATGCTATTACTGTGAGCTGGGTGCCCTGTGTCCTTACATTATACAAAAAAGATCACGCCTGCTGGGGACGGCCATACTTCAATAATATCCCACACTCGAACGACTCAGGAGAACTACCATTATGACATCGACCGCGACTCGGTGACGTTTTGGACGAGAGACCTGATGACTTCAAATAGCCGTGATTCCAGAGATCTCACAGACAGCCAGTAGATCAGGGTTTGATTCTTCAGAACAAGCTGGTAAAGTCGCCAACACGTTTGGCGCCAAATAGGATATGAGATCCTTAAGAACCCCCTACTAGCACAGAGGAAATTGTGGACAAGAGCGTTGATAGCTACGAGCTACCGGAAGTCAAGCTCTTTCGTATCGGTACCGATACACACCCGAGGAAATATTGTTACAGCTACGGTAACGTGACGTCATGGTTACAGG